AGTTTCAGCTCTATGTCTTCTGCGTGTTCCGAGCTAGCGAAAAACCTATGGTGAGGGACGACACCCCCTCGGCCGGCGAGGGTTAATGTATTTGAATAGGCTCTTACATGCGATTTTTCGATTGCACATGCGATTTCCTGACTGCGGAAAGAGTCTGATTAGGCTCAAAAGGTCACCGAACATGGTGACATCTATTTTAAAGAAGCATCGTGGTGGCAGGGGGCGCAGTCTTTAGAGCATGTGGCAGCCCCGAGCTATAGTTACACTAACAGCCACCATCTAATGACAACCAATCAATCAACATGAGAATACCATCGTACGTAGGTATCGTCCGGCGATACGATATATCACTCCATCTGCCTCTGATGATCGGGTGGATCACACGGTCAAGCCAGCTGCCCGTGCTCACACCACCCGCATCCAGCCCAGATAGGTGTCGGGTCAGAGAAGTCACCGGCAGTCTTTCCTCTACATGCACCTGACGGCTGACATTGGCTCTGAACTCTGCAGTCGCGCCCTGTAGCCGACCACACGTCCCTGTCAATCACTCGCGAAGGGCCGGTGACAGCTCCTCTCGGCACGGCATGCTTCCACGGCCAGTGGGCGGGGGGGGGGGGACTCGGCTAATGTCAGGGTCGCCGGGGTCACCGGTGGCGTGCACGAGGATTTTTGACAGGGGTTGGCCTGAGTGGAGCGTCACTCGAACTACTATAACCCTCGCCGGCACAGGCCATTTTGCGTCCTTCGACCGTTTCGACGGCACAAGGGTACGACCCCACTCTGACTCGCATTTGGCCCCTGATCGAGCTAGAGCTTCGCGGAAAGAACGAGCGTGCTGCCCGTGACGAGAGGAAGCCTATGATACCCAATTTTAAGGTCCTAGGTAATCGATTGACCTTCGAGGTGTCGTCAATGACCCAAAAGTCGGGAAAATCGAGACCTGTTAGAACGTTGTAAAGTGTGGCTCCTATGGATTTTTCGGGGTGCTGATCATGAATACCTATCATGTAAGTTTTGATCACAGCATTATGTCTTTAGGCCAGGTCGGATCAGGTCAGGTCAACCAGTAGGGGTCCTGCTGAGTGCTGGGTATTCGTATTACGCGTCAACCGCCTCTGACAGTTTCGTAACATGTTACAAAGGCACCAAAATTACTTCGTAAATGTTCAAATGGTTGCTTAATTCGAATTCAGTTCCAAAGACTAGCCTAGAAACATGTAAAACTCGAAAAAGTGGACCGAGGTCATCAATGATCAATGAGCTGACCCGACCTTGACCTTGACCTTGACATCCATCCTAATGCATCAAATCACATGTTTGAACGTTTGAAACCACTAAAAGACTGCAAACGCGCGGCTAATGCGAGCCGAAATACGCCGAATCGCGATTCCGGCCAGACATAGTCTCGAAAAGTAGGTAGCAACTCACAGGTCAAAGGTCATTTGGGTCAGCGTCATGAAACTTTCAGGGTAGCTGTAAAATTGATCAACGCGGGGTACATACTGAAAGTTCGTCGCGATCGGCCGCTTTTTACGCGAGTTATTTGCGAAAAACCTTACGCGGCTTGCATCAACCCTCCCCCTGTGCCGGCGAGGGTTAAAGGTCTAGATCAAGTTACATGCAGAGCAATGCTTTGTTTTGTGGCCACTATGAGATTACAAATTTGCTATCATCAATCAAGTTGAGCATGATCTTCACCGGATAGTTTTAAATTCTGAAACGTGATCTGTTCTACAGCAGTCGGTCGGTTTCGCCTGGTGCCCCTCCCGAGACATTGCTGCCGTCGCCGATGCAGTCGTGTGAAGGGCCCGTCGCCAGCTGCGGGGCGGCTGCCTGCTGCACCCGCTCATGTTGTGTCTGCTGGGGTTCCGGACAAAAAGTCAAATAATAAAAGGTAAAAGGATGATTAGTCAACAGACATTACGTCAAAAGCACGAAGTCAAAAATCTTAAAAGTCAACAGGTAAAAGGTCAACAAAGAGGAAAGTCAAAAGGCAAAAAGTCAAAAAGGATAAAACGTCAAAAGATAAAAAGTGAAATTGCCAAAAAGTCAATGAACAAAAAGTCAACTAGCATAGAAGTCAAAAGACAAAAAGTCAAATGGACATAAGGTCAAAAGACAAAAAGTAAAAACGGCAAAAAGTCAAATTGCCAAAAAGTAAAAAGGACAAAAGTCGAAAGACAAAAAGTGAACAGGACATAAAGTCAAAATCAAAAAAACCAGAAGGACAGAAAGTCAAAAGGACAAAAAGTCAAAAAAAACAACAAGTCAACCGGGCATGAAGTCAAAATAAAAAGTCAAAAGTTCAAAAAGTCAAAAAGACATATAGTCAAAGTCCAAAAAGTCAAAAGGACAAAAAATCAAAGGGACAAAAAGTCAAAAGGACAAAAAGTGAAGAGGACAAAGGTCAAAAGACGAAAAGTCAACAGGACATAAAGTCAAATTACGAAAAATCCAAAGGAAAAAAGTGTTGCCGGCGGCTCGCTGCGTGTGAGAGAACGTGGACTGTATGCTTAAACGTCAGCCAAAGAAGGTACAAAATACCCGTGTGTCGGTTCTCCTTGTTATACCCCTTAACGGAAAGAATATATGCAAAATAGGTCTGCATTGCCTCTAGACCGTATGCGGGCTATGAAAACGTGCGGGCAAACAAAAGCATACGATAATAAAATTAACGATACAATAAATGAGTGCTTAAAAACCCGGAACGAAATCCCAGGTCTTTAAAAGCAGAGAATACCAGCCTTCATGGTACCATAAACCAATCGGCCTGGCTATCGGATGGGCGGCGGTCAGAGGTCGGCGGGAGGTGGTGTCTGAGTCAGTACTGCAAACTAACTGACGCACCGTCCGGCGGGAGACCCTGACCTCGGCTCGGTCATCACGTGACAGCACACTCGTTTCACATACGCGGGCACCCGCACCGGTGGCCGCGCGGAGCGACCGCGCGAGGCGCGCTCAAATACAAGTGCACCCCGCCACAGCGCCGAGCGAAGCCGCAATCGCCGGACGGAGAGCGTTACATAACCGCAACAAAAAGCCAAAAATCCAAAAACTCAAAAGGACAAGTCAAAGAGACAAAGTCAATGACACCTGGATCATCAGTCATTACATACATGAGATAACATTTACAAACAGCTGTACACAATTAAGCAGGATGCTGCACAATATAACCTGCATCATTGGACATTGAAGCGAGACTGCCTCCATTGCGCGACTGATGGGGATTCCCATGGCCCGCAACCGCGACTCAGCTGGTCACACGGGCATGCTTGGCTGAAATCTGACCACATCCGTTGACACTTACGTGCTAGGTGGGAGCTCGCTCGCATCGTAAGGTTGTCATGAGGCAGCGTTACATGATCCTTCGAGACAACTGGCTGTCCCAGGCGCAGTTTACTGGAATTATTTCAACAAATATAGTAACCCGGAATGTCATCGATACGAAAGGTTCGCTTGTTCAAATTTCCTATATTGAGTAGGGACTAGGGAGACGTTTCTCATCAATTGATTCCGTCACGGGTTCTTTTAGCGATTTCACACTTTTATTATAGTTCAAGCGTATTGTATGGTACAATTGGTACAATAGTAAAGCGCGTCGTTTTTTTAGATAGGTGGAAGTTTCAACGAGAGGCAATTGTGTGATTGTCGGATTGTCCTGCCTTGAAAGGAACGCTCATATCAGCATCAACAGACAACAACCTGTTAATATTCACGGACTGCATACAATCAAGGTGACCAATTTTCATCGAAATGTAAAGGTCAATTAAGTTATCGAGATGCGATTGCTAAAAACACAATTTTCTAGGACCTCGGAGCTGTGACGTCCAAAGAGAGGTGACAAGTATAGCGCATTGTGGCCACCAGTTACTGTCCCTCTCCTTCATCTTCGCCTCCGCCCTACGTCTCCTTATCGGAACTGCCCCCCCCCCCGCCACCAGCAGGCACAGTACGCCAACTTTATATAGATAAGTTCACATTCCCAATATACTTTTTAAAGCAAAGTAAAAATAGGTAGGAGCGTTCTTATCGGTAGTGTCGGGGCACGTACGGGGACGCGCCGAGACGCGCTATGCGGTGCAGCCGGCGCCCAGCGAGCGGCGGCCGGGGATCAGGTGGCCCGGCGCGGGTCAGTCGCCGACCGGAGACGCGGGCTGCGGCGTACTTGTACCGACTTAGTTAACGACTGCTGTTGAAGACTACTTTTTGCTGTTGACTACATTTTGCGCATCAACTTTTCGCGCACCTATAAACTATTTGCTTGTTGACTTTTTGTGTGTTGACTTTTAGCGTGTTGACTTTTAAGCATGTTGACTTTTAGCGTGTTGACTTTTAGCATGCTGACCTTTCGCGTGTTGACTTTTAGCGTGTTGACTTTTAGCGTGTTGACTTTTAGGCGTGTTGACTTTTAGCGTCTTGACTTTTTGCGTGTTGACTTTATGCGTGTTGACTTTTAGCGTGTTGACTTTTAGCGCGTTGACTTTTTGACATGTCGGCTTTTTGTCTCTTTGACTTCTTGTCTTTTGACTTCTTGCGTGTTGACTTTTAGCTTGTTGACTTCTGGCGTGTTGACTTTTTGGCAGGTTGACTTTTTGTTCATTTGACATTTTGTCCTTTGACTTCTTGCGATGTTGACTTTCTGTCTGTTGACTTAATGTCCTTTGACTTTTTATCCGTTTACTTTTAACGTTTTGACTTTTCATCCGGGAATCGTCTGCTGCCCGTCGGCTCCTCCGCGCCGCCGCTGGAGCCCCTGGAATGCGTGACCCCCTCCTCTGCGCCCGCATCGCCGCTGAGATTTCAAAACGTATCATTCCCCTATCGACGTTGATCTGCGGCCAATGTGTGTTTGTATATGCATATACATGAGCCAGATCCGATTGCGTTAAGCTGAAATAAATTCAAATTATATGACTCAAAAAATTTATATCATCTCAAATTCAAAAATCAAAACGTGTTATATTTACCAGTAAATTGGCAATTAAACATTCATATAGTTGTTATAGTTCGTGATACCTGTAGATGGTGCGGTTACCAAGTGCTTGCAGGAATCTCCAGTTATTCTGCAAAGTGTTGGTGCCAGTCACATCAGAGAACAGACTGGTGCGCAAATCTTGCAGGAACGTGGCCTCCACCGAGACGGGCTGGTCATGCACGATCCACGTGACCACCGGGCTGCAGGGCGGCGTCGTCAGGCTGCCCTGGTAGCTGAAGAAGCTCTTGAGCGCGGTTCGCAACACTTTTCTCAGCGGGCGCAGATCGACTTGCCTGGTGACGGAGCTGCCCAGCTGCGACAGCTGCGGCAGGTCGCCGTCCAGACCCAGCGTCGGCAGGGACAGGCACAGCGCCGGGTCGGGCCGCAGCAGCAGCCCCACCACGGCCAGGCCGTCGGCGTGCGCCAGCGCCGCCGACACGTTGCCGTACTGCTGGTTGAAGAAGACAAAGTGCGCCTCGGCCTGCTCGAAGGTGCCGTTCATCTTGTGCTCGGAGCCGCGGCCGCCGGCCGGGTCGTTCCAGTGCAGGTGCAGGTTGTCCAGGATGTACCGGCCGTTGAGGGGAGTCGAACTGTTGCTCTCCAGCTGGAAGGCCGGGTCACCGAACTTGTCCTTCAGCGTCACCTTGAGCGTGCGGCCCGTGTTGGAGGCGGTCAGCGAGCCGTCTTTGAGGCCGGACTGGACAGACAGCAGCTGCGGCAGGTTGTCGTCATCGGTGGAGGACTGCACGGCCGGCTGCAGCGTTATGGGCGTCTGGTCGCCGACGCCGCCGCACTGCGGGAACTCCTGGCTCCAGGAGCCCTGGTCCGAGTAGTTCCACGAGGGCTCCATGGGCGCCGGCCGCACGAGGCCCGGCAGCAGCGCCGCCAACAGGCACAGGATCAGAGGGGACGACATGGCGCGGCCGGACGGCAGACCACCCACCGGCGATCTCGGGGGACACAGGCGCACAGAGAGGGGAGCTGGCGCGGCCCGGTGCACAGGACAGGACAGGTCGGCTTTTATAGCTCATAGGGCTAGTCAGATCTGACATTTTCAGACCAGCCCACCACTTCCTGTCAACTACACGGCCGAATTTCGAGTAAAGTCCGGCAGCTGTCAGTACACAGCAAAAACAGGCATATTGCATATATGTTACAGGCAGTATGAGAACTCAGTCCGTTTGCAAACGGCCTGGCCCGATTCAGGCCGTTTCAAAACGGCCTGGACAGCCCAGCCAGTATAGGCAAACGGGCTGAAAAGTCAAGCCGTTTGAAAACGGTCTGAAATTACCAGGGTTGGATAATTGTGCCGAGTTGGGGTAGCACGAGCCTTCCCAATTCCACGCCGCCTGCGCCGGCTTGGCTTAGGAGCCGCACTAGATGGCCGAGGTCAAGGTCACCGCCAGCGGCGTCACCACGGTTTCAGAACTTCTAGGGACACTTTTCCAGGGCGTTGCCACAAACCTTTGCTTGAGTCTGGTCGCCAATGCCCACTTACCCTCCAATCTGCGTTCCTTGTTGGACTTCGGCCACTGCCTAATTTAAAAACGAGGGAGAATAATTAATATCTAGTTGGAAAAAAACGAAGAAGTTACGCGGTAGTATGTAGGCATACTCTTCGATCAGGAAACGCGTGCCCACATCCTTCTGCCTATGCAAACCTGGCGTTGGACCCCAGAGGCCAGCAGAGGGCCCTCAGAGCCCAAGATGGCCCCCCAGAGGCCAATGCAGGCCATACAAGGTCCGGCATCGGATCTTCCGAATCCAGTGCGGGGCCCTCAGGGACACGTAAAGGTTAGTCTTGGTACCCCAGAGACAGAAATGCCACCAGAGGTCGAGGTGAGGCCCTTAGACGCCTGATGGGTCCCTGAGGCCGGTTTAGGGGCCCTTAAAGGCCAGCGGAGGCCCTCAGAGGTCAATGCGGGTCCTCCATGGTCAGTGTGGGCACTTGACCATCATGGAAGGGAAGGGCCCTCAGAGGTCAGTGTAGGGCCCTAAAAGACCGCTATCGAAGTGAGTTTTTTTTTGGGGGGGGGGGGGCAATTGTATGATTGATGACCCCTGAATTTCCCTTTGGGTGGGGAGCATGGCCCTGATGCCTCCCCCCTCTTCCCGCCGTCTCCGATCCCCACTCCGATGTTCCACAGGGAATTGATTTAGGAAATGTTGGCTTGACCAGTGGCCGGCCCAGAGCGGCGGCCCAGTACCTACTGCCCTGATCCTGACCTCCCGCCGGGTCCACGCCACGCGCACTTTGGGCGACCAGCCCCTCATACATGGCTGAGTCTGCCCCAGCTCGTAACCGGCGGGCAGCTGCATATCGTCATCGGTCGGGTTTATAAGCTGGACCTGTATGTAACCAGCCGAGTTCGTTTCAGCAATCACGCTGGGCACCTCCAGAATCAGCTCGGGTGTCTCCACGGGTGACTGGGAAACAAACTCGACCAATTTCTCGGAAGAGTGTCGGCCTGCCGTATGCAGCTTTACATTACGGCGACCACACGCACGTGCCTGGAGGCCGGAGGGCACCGTCACATCTGTGGGGAGGCACACCGCTCGTGGGCCTTTTTATTTAGGTACCGTGGCGATGTTGACGCGACCGATCGCAAGGCAAAATACATGTGTTCGAAGAGCTGAGCAAGTTGCGCCATTATCGTGTCCCGGGTTCTTTGCGTGTCCCCAGTAGAGGGAGCTCCAAAAACTTCATAGGGACAATCCCTAGTAGTTTTCGATGATTTCAAAACTTCTAGGGCCAATGTCCCTAGTGTCCCTAGTGGTGGTGACGCCCATGGTCACCGCTAGGGCGGCGGGGGATTTGCTGCGCCCGTGCAACCCCAACTCGGCATATTTATCCACCCCTGGAAATTAGGGGAAGTTGGGGCAATGCCGGAGTTGGGGCAAAGCCGAAATTCGAGATATTTCGAAAACCGTAAGACATGGATGCCACCTGTAAGTGATGCTCTGAAGCTTAAGTGACTACAATTATCGCATGTTTGTTACGAGTCGTCATTCGGAATACTTCGACTGTGAGGGCGCCAAGAGTGTTTTCAAGGTACGTTTCCCTTGTACTACATGCGCCTTTGAAGCTGCATTTTTTACTCATTATGCTACCGTTTGTCTGGCCAATTCGGTCAAGTAATCTTTAGCATGTCTTTGCATAAGTGTGCTGCCTATTTGAAATTTATACAACACGTTGAAAAGTTATGGGCCTGCAAATGAAAGTATGGCTGGCTGGGGTAATGCCGAAAACGTGCGATTACGCACGTGTTAAAAGCACGCTACGTGGACTTTACTGCTGTAGAATAGCAACGCGTATTTTTAGTCACACTAATTACACTTTCAACCGACACAACGGCCTGTTACCTATAAGGAATGATTTACCTGGCATTTTCTTATTATATCACACAATTATAACTTCCAGTGTGCACCGCGTCCTCAAGCTCTTGAAACGTGTGTCAGCTTTGATGAATTCTGGATAAAGTTTGAGATAAAATGGCAAAACATCAATGTCGGCATTCCCCGTAGATCATTTCTCCCATTTTCGGCTTTCCCCGCAGTCCGGGGCAACGCCGAAAAAGTCACTTCTTTGATATTTTTAGTTTGTGCGCTTAACGGTATGCGAATTCATCAAATGCGCCTGGTATGTTTGAAAGGCAAAAGACTGGCCTCTCGAATGACGCCAACAAGAATAGCGTATGTTGTCTACCTTGCGTGCTACGGGCGTCAGAAAAAAAGTCTTCGGCGTTCCCCCAACTTCCCCTACAGGCCGTATGCCTGAAATTTCAGGCCGTTTGGAAACCGCCTAGGCCGTATGATAACTTTCGTGACACCAGACCGTTTACAAACGGTCTAGGCAGTAGTTAAAAACATTCTAGTCTTAGGAGGTTCGAGCTCGCACACAATGTGTAAAATTGATGGGGGAATAGCCATGCAAAATTTCGCGGCACTACGCGCCGTGGTTTTCCCGCTATTCACGAAACATACCTCAGGGCGGGTTAAAAATACGTCCCAACGGTTATGAAATAAACGAACACTTAACCTCATTAGTGGCAGGCTCCTAATTATAAGCATAAGAATATTGGGATAATAAGAATAAACTGAAAGCTTCCATTTCCGAAAGTCGCGGAACAATATAGCGACGGGCCGCAAACCCCGGTGTGGCTCATTCGAATGACAGCAAAGATAACCATAAGGCAACCACGCATGGGAAGCAAATATTTAAGGGAAAATCATCGGGTTTGCTTAATTACGTACCTAGACAAAATAGACGTATTGGAGGTAAGCTATGGTATTTCTGAGCATGATTAATAATGTAAATAGATATAACTATATATAACATAGATATAACTATGTAAATATATATAACATGAGCATAAGGTTATTCACTCTATAAAATAGACGTAATTTCATATATGTTTACATAACGTCTTATTCTATTACAGGATTGAAGTAATTTCCAACCAACCTAACACTAAAGAAACCAACACATGTATTGGTGTCAGACCACGTATGGCATCATAAAGTTTGGGTGAAGCGCCAATTGTTGACATTTCGCCCGTTTTCACCGGGTCAAAGCTGTATCTGTTTGAGCGGCACGACAGTGTCACGTGCCCCTAAATCCGTCTGACAGGGGTCATTGCCGAAAATGCCTCTTCACCCGCATGGTGGACAACTGTCCAATGTGTCGATGGCTGTTTCAAACCACCAACATGCCTACATAGCATTGGATAAAAGTAACACTGGATAACTGTATTATCTGTAGTGGCCTATGCAGGAATTTCACCTATAGTGCTAACAAGTAACAATAAGCATATAAAGACGATGAGAATTGTCTTTGAAGACATTTCAAATGTATAGGTATACCAGCCTCTAGATTTAGCCTGACTCACCACAGGTTTGGGACACCACAGCTCAGATTTACCCAAATGCATGCTATTACGTATTTGGGGGGGGGGGGGGGCACTGGCCCATGCCTCTCCCCTTCGGCGACGAAAGCTCCTTCCATTCGCGAATGTGATTAGAGAGAAAATGCGACTGCGTCCTCCTACGTAGGTATTGGTGCTCTCCTGTTGGATGTTGACCTCCGCCCTCGGCCTCCTAACCATTCATTGGTGCCCTCCTGTTGATCGGTGGCTCCTCCTACCTACTGGCGCCCTCCTGTTGAATGCTGATCGGGGCTTTAACGTTTTGCCTTGCACTATCTCAGTTTATGTGTTAATCAATTCACTTAATTTGAAGTGAAACTTAGAAGCTCAACTAAACTAGTAAAAAGTTATATAAAAAAGTATTTCATTTGATGCGCATGGACGTGTTGAGTTTACTGATGTTATTTTTTATCTATCGTTACCACTTACCAGAACAGCCAAAAACTTTTGACGTTTCCTAGCAATATTTATTAATATCTCCACCCCACACCCCTAAATATTGACCTAGAGTCACCAAATTTGCACAACTGCGAGATTCCCATGGGTCCACCTGCCTTGCAAATTTGACGTTTCTAAGTGCCATAGGAGCCAATCGCCAGGGGGTCGCACCCCCGCCCTCCCCCTGGCCGTCCTCGTTATGAAAAAGGTCCTAGCCTGGCGAGGCCGAGGGTTAAAGGGACCCTCCCACCTTCAAAAAAGTTAATGAATTGGCATGAAAGTGATGTCGCTCGGTTCAGGAAGAGCGAAAACGAATATCTACCAAATTTCATCGAAAAATATTCACCGGTTTTCATGATATTAGACTTTTACTATTGTTTACTTTCTGGGATCTCCGCTGTTCCTAGCGACTTTATTTGAAAGTGCGGCATTTGTTGCGCGCAAAGCAGCATATACCACCGCGTGCTACCAAACGTTTTAGTAAAAGATTTAAAAATCGTTAGACCTCCGCTGACGTCACAAATTCTAAGGGGGCATACCAATGCATTAGCCC